ATATGTATTGACTATAGGAAATTGAACAAAACTACTAGGAATGATCATTTTACCTTACCTTTTTTTTATAGTCTTGTTGGACACTCATGTTTTTGTTTCCAATATGATTAATCAAGAGATCATCAAAGTTTTATACCACCAGATGATCAGGAAAAAATAAAATTCACTAGTTCTTATGAAACCTTCGCTTTTAAGAGAATTTGCTTTGGATTATGCAATGTCACTTTTCAAAAAACGATGATATCTATATTTTATAATTGTAATCAGAGGGGTATTACGGTGTTCAATAATAATTTCTCTATGTTTGGCACTTACTTGGATACATTTCTTTTTATATTTTGGAATTCTTCTTTTGGATTATATTACGAAGTGCTTGAATTATATTTTGGAATTCTTTTGGAATTCTTTTTTTTTTTTTAGGGTATAGTCTTTATAAAACTTTTTTACACCATCGCAAGAAAATTATTATATTTTGACTATAATAGATTAAGTCTCAAAATGGTTTTAGAGAGTTGCTCTATCTAAGAGTCATTCCTAAGATGTTAATATTTTTTTCGAAGAACTATATGTTTAGTAGATTAAGAACACCTAGAGTGATTGTTGGGGATAGAGAGAGTCACTTCTGCAATAAAAGAATTGATACATTTATTGTTAAGTATGAGATTAAATATATGATTTTGACTCCATATCATTTTCAAACTAGTGATTTAGCAGAAGTGACAGATAGAGAAATCAAGAGGAATTTAAAGAAAAGTATTAACCTAATAAAACATATCAATCTCTTAGGATGGATGAAGCACTGTGGGCCTATAAAACTACTTTTAGGACTCTCATGGGTATGCTACCATATAGGTTGGTATTTGAAAATGCGTACCACTTACATTTAGAATTAACACATAAACCATATTTGGAAGTTAATTAGTTCAATTATATTCTCAAGGATTCATCAAATAAATTGTTCTTATTGCTCAGATTATTTCATGTTGCTTGATATAGCCTGTGTTAACCTCTATTTTACAGTTTGAGTCTTATTTTCTTACATTTTTACATACTTTTAGAGTTTAGAAAAGTTAGTACAAGTAATAAGGTATGAGCACAAATTTCTGATGCATTTGACGCATTGAGCTGCTTGCTCGGGTCACATATTGTAAATTTAGATCATGTATTCATTTTTTAGACTTAAGTTTGATCATGTATAATTGGAGCACAACTATCATTTTGCATTTATGGGATATGTTGTTGACCCGGTGGGAACCCGACCTATTTTTTTATTTATTGAGAGTTTTCCTTATTACACTTGTACGTTTTCACTATTTCTTATGTTTGTGATTTGTCTGGATTAACAAAATATATAGGCTCTGTAGCTTAAATTTTCTTTCTAAAAAAGTTCAAATTTAAGATATTTTTTATAATAAATGTTGCATTAAAATTTCTAAGATTTTGAACTTAGCACATAGTGTTTACTTTTATTTTTAAATTTAAAAAATTAACACTACATCCTCGAGGTAGTTTTAAAATGATCTTAAATGCAAGGACATGTCCTTCTGCTTGTTAATAAGGCCTCCATGCTTAGAATGTCTTAAATACTTACACACATATTGCATGTCATGAGAAAATTACTCTAGCTTTCCAATCCGGCTTATCTAGCATATATTTTACATGCATAGATGGCTGTCTAATAAAATATATGGTGTTAAAGGCTTCCCGACCTATATGGGATTATAAGCCTCAAGTGGGGTTGAATAACTTTGTTGTTAGGTCATTTGTTCTTTTTTATTTACGTGTAGAACTTTTGTCCATACCCATAACAGTTATAATCTCTATTATGTCTTCTTGGTCTAGTTAGAGTCAAAGGAGCGTAGACGTTTCTTTCCTCCAATTTTAGGTTTACAGAATCACTTCCGAGTTCAGATGATGCAACACATGTAGGGCTGTGAATTTAGCTCGAAGAATGTTAACCACTTGAAAATTGACTCAAATTTTAACTTGAATCAAGATCAGATCAAAATAAATAGACGAGCTACAGGCCAAAATTTTAGACCAAATTTTTTTGAGCCAACTTTAAGCAGAACCCAGCTTCGCTCGAAAGCAGACCATTTACAGTCCTACTGATGTTATGGATGTAAATTTAGTTAATATAGTTCAAAATGTGTTAATCGCTCAAATTTGATTCATATCAAGGTTAAGCATGGGTTAATGGCTGGCTTGGGACTCAACCCTAGGGTCTAAGGTGAGTCATGGCAAGGCTCATTTGATCATACCAAGCTCAATTGGTTTGGGTTTGGTCATAGTTCCCAAAAGGTGCATATGGCCAAATCTTGTGTTTGTGCTAGGTCAGGCATGCCAATTGGCCCAATTAAATATAAAATTTGGTGGAGGAGATCATGAAAAATAACTTTCATGAAGGGTGAAAGTCATTTTGAGGTCAATTGGTTAATCAATTTGGTGGATTTTTGATTTTTGACCCATTTTAAGCATATTGGGCTAAATTTGGGTCAAACTTGGGCTGGCTTTGGGCTAAGCTCAAATTAATTGTTTTATTTAGTGTAAAACATCATTATGAACAACTTTCCATGAAGGATGAGAGTTGTTTTGAAGTTGATTTAGTGGTCAATTTGGATGGGTTTTAATGGATTTGGATTTAGACTTAAGTTAAGCATGTAGGGCTAAACTTGGGTCAAACTTGAGCTAGCTTTGGGCTAAGCTCAAATTGATTGTTGTATTTGGTGTAAAACATCATCATGAACAACTTTCATGAAGGATGAAAGTTGTTTTGAAGTTGATTTGGTGGTTAATTTAAATAGATTCTGATGGATTTGGATTTAGACCTAAATTAAGCCTTTAAGGGTTAAATTTGGGTCAAACTTGAGCTAGCTTTGGGCTAAGCTCAAATTGATTGTTAATTTGAGGTCTAAGGCATTCAATTGTTGAGATTTGAGGTGTTAGCCAATATTGGGGCTAATTTGGGGATTTTGTCAAAGATGGTCAAATTGACCAAATTGGACCAAGGTGTAGTTGGACAAAATAAAATTGGGAATATTTTGGATTTATTGGAATTTATTGGGAATTTTTTTTGGAATTTTTGGAATTTTTAGATTTTTAGGCTATGGAGGGGCATTTTGGTAATTTGGCCATTTTTATCAGTTTTGGCAAATTTTGATGTATTCAAAGTGTTTGGAATGATTTTTGATCAATTTTGGGTATTTTGGCAAAATTTGTAAATTTTGGCCAAATTTGGGTCACAATGGCAGTCAGGCAAATTGGAGGTGTCTAGAGGCAAAATATCAAGTTAGACATTTCACATAGAATTGGATAGATATCCATTCTAAATGAACCATGGATCAATGAAATCCTCATTTTGGGACCTTATGGATTGGTTTTAGCTAGAATATTGTGAGGATATTGTGTACCCTAACTCCACACCAACACCCAGGGTCAATCCTAAGGCCAAGTAATCCTATAGGAACTCCTCTTGAATCCTTTCACAATGATCTTACCTACTAAATGCTAGAAGTTAAGATCAATATGTGAAACTTCAAGTTGAGTAAAGAGAAAGGCTTTGAATTTCTAATGGTGGGGTACCTTTTCTAATTTTCTAAGACTAGTCAATAGGAAAGTCTTATGGCTAGACCTAGGCTACTAAAGAAGTTTTCTAGACCTCAACCAAAAGTGAGGTCAACAGTGAACAAGCATGACTGGTGATTAATTATCATTTTTCTCTTTAATTGGGAATGTGGGATTCACGTGTGTGAAATCTTTTTTGTCATTTTGTGCATAATCTTGAATAGCGATTTTTAACTTTCGGAAATTCATGTACTTTTATTCTGACTAAGTGAATTTTTAATACTTGTAGTGAATGATAAAATTTGGAAGAGATCATAGTGAAACGATACGTTTAATCTCATTAACTCTGGGGAATAAGGATATTGCCTATATGTTAGTGTAAACTTTATGATTGAAAGTAATCGTTAGAGCTAGAAATTGAGTTTAGGGCACAAAATCAAGTTTCTTATCCAAACTTTCTTAGACTACCCGGAAGTTTTAGGGAAGAGGGTTGCTCTTGTATGTCACTTGCTTGATTAAATCATTTTTCACACTTTTTGTCCAACTGATCATTTTCCGGAGAGAATCTTATAAGCATTAGAAAACTCTATGCTCTCAACTATTGATAGCATATAATGTTTTGAACTCAATAACTTAGGATTAGTCATTTTAGCAATTATCGAAACTATAACATTTAGGCTAGGATCGACGATTGCAAACAAGATTTTTTTCTTTTGGGATTAATCTCATTCCCTGTTGGATCGATACCTGGAACAATATTATTGAAACTATTGATATGACTGATATACTTACGTGAGTCAGGAGTGTTTTATGACATTTGGTTCGCATCAGACATGCAAATGAACATGCTTTTACAAAAAAAAAATAATAATAATAATAATAAAACAAATTAATTAACTCTTATAAAAATATACTAGCTTTTAAAATAAAGAATGCTAAATAATCTTATAACTAAATATATTAATAAAAATGTGCTAGAAATCTACTCTTGAGTTCACGCCTATGACATTTCCAGGGGATGTGACATCCAAATGTTGTAGGATAGCACAGTGCTTGTCCTCCATCTTCACGGCGGCCTCTAGTAATTTTCTTCTTCTTTCAGTTTGGGCAAGGAGATAATATTAAGACCTAAACCCAAATGCTTTCATTTTCATCTATCCCAGCTCCAATGAGTGGTGATTCATTTTAATTATTTTAATTATCTAAGTATGGCGGCTTTTTTTCTACTTTTTTTAATTAAAAATGACCTTTAATTAATTTCATTAAATCATTAATCATTTGATTTATAAAACTATAGGATACATTCCATGCATGCATTGCTAACCAAATGTATCCAACGCACTCCTTTGAACCAGTCACTTTGTTTTTAACATATTTTTTGCAAAAGAACCCCTATGAAGGGAATGAATTCAAAACGGTAAGAGAGAAATACTCATTCTCTAGAACTAACTCACTGCCACGCATCACATTGAAGTGGTAATACATACCAGCAACCATTTTAATCTGAGCTTCTTTCTCACCGATATTTCCCCTTAGATATATTTCTTCATCTTTCGAGCCCAGATTTTGGCTGGCTTTTCCTCTTTTTCTCCCACATTTTGGAGTGCACTGCACAGAATATAATTCATCTCATTTCTCCGTCCAAATCCTCAACACCGACAATGTAAGTCGCTGCAAACATTCTAACTCACTCAATTCTTGAAAATATGCATCGAAATAGGTTTTTTTTTTTTTTTTAGTCGGCTAAGATTGATGCTTTATAAAATTAAAAATCAAGAGAATGGATGTGCTTTTTGTAGGAGTTCTCCTTTGAGAAATGAGATAATTGTGATGAATCTCCCTCGACAACTACCTGTGGAGGGTGAGTCGTCAGCGTTTTTATCGACGCAGGCAATACAACGAGTAAATTTACCGCCACTATGGTATCTAGGTGTAGTTCCCCAGGAAAATGGCTATTGGGTTGCTCAAATCTTATGTATTGACCGTCTTATATCGCTAGGAACATTCAATTCTGAAGTAGCCGCGGCGCGAGCTTACGATACTGCGGCCATAACACAGTACGGCGATGAATTCTTCCGTAACTTTTTATTAACGAGTGTCACTATTCATGAACCTTCTTTTCAAAGCAATTACTCCAATGAAACCATTGTTGAAATGATTAGAAATGGCTCTTACGAACTCAAGTTGATCCATTTTGTTTCGAATCACCCTCGTAACTACCACTACCGTGGCCCTATAGAAATGCCTTCTTGCATGGACGCCATCCAAGAAGTCTTTTACAAAAAAATGTTTCATAAAGAGCTGACTTTGACTGATCTCGAGCATCAAAAAGTATTGATTTTACCCATTGATGCTCGGCCCTTCTTTCCACGAGTAAGGTCCAATAGAGTCCAATTTTGGCTTGAGTTTAAAGACAGAATGAATCGAACATGGGCATTTCAATACTTTTACTGGTCTCGTTTTCAGAGATCTATACTTACTAGGGGTTGGAGCAAGTTTGTAAGTGAGATGCAGCTTCGTGCTGACGACATTGTCGTCTTTTATCAATGTTGGGACCGGAGAACGCATCCTGAAGAAACTTTTGATATGGTTGACATCATCCGAGGACTTAGAATCACCCGGGACGAACTGCAGGGCTTAAGCTGACATCCATGCCTTTGATTGAATGCAAAACGTTCCGTCTATCAAGTATCTAGCAGTGTGTTATTCTTTTTCAAAAATTTAGGAAGAAACTTTTTAATGAAGACAAATATATTATTTTATGGCGCAATTCGTACTCGGTAATAAGATTTTTGACGATTCGTGCGAAGTGCAGACACGATTGTTATAAGACTTTTTTTTTTCAAACATTATTCATAAACATTTATTTATGTTGCAAATTATTTTGTGTTATTGTGAAGTGATGTGGGTATGATTTATTTCACTTATCGCATAAAATAATTAGAACTATTGCCGCTCATTGGTTATGATGATAATGCTTTAATTTCAATTTTCCTCGAATCAAACACAAAAATGTTAATCCTTGCATTTATCATATATCAAACCAAACACCGATTATATTTCAACTATATTGCATTTATTTCATAAACAATTTATTATTTGATCAAGGGCATTTAATTTTGATATAAATGTACTATAATTATTTTTAGATCAAATAAAAGTAAACAACAATTAAATTAGAATATTTTAAAATTTTCTGAATTATAAATAAATCCAATTTAAATCTAGACAAAAGCTATAGAACAAAAAAATAAAATAAGAATATCTAAATAATCCTATATTTGTTGTATTCAAGACTTATTTGTGAAAGTAGACCAATATGTCATTTTCTATTTTCTTATTAAGATGCTCTAATCCTCTCTTGTTTATGGGAGGGGTTAGGGTAATTTTTTTGTGTAGAGTTGTCACCCTATTTAAGGCTCATTTTCTTTTCTTTCTCCCTATTTGGTGATAATGGAATATTGTCTCTTTGTAGACATAGGTGCATTTGAGCTGAATCACGTAAATCACACTGCATCTAATTTTTTTCTTATTTTGTGATTTTGTTTGCCACATTGTCCTACACAACAATTAGTATCAAACCCAACCTGGTGTATGTCCTGTCAGAACATCTAACCATGCATTTGAAAGTTGGAGTGGGTGAGTCGCTGGAGTCGTCGGGGCACTGGAGTCGCCAAGAGAGGAGAGGGGATGGTTAGGGCACGAGGGGGAGGGAGAGACCGAGAGGGATCAGGCATTAAGTAAAGTTCGGGGGCGTAACTAATTTTCGTGGTATAAAAGATTCTTTTGACGGCTTCAACTCTGTATATTTTTAACATTAATACCAACAACACTGATCGTCAATTTCTTAAACAACTTGTTGGTTAACGCCCCGCCAAATATCGGGTTCGTAAATAGCCCGACGACATATGGCCGTCGATTATTATGTGTTTATAAACGATAGTGAAATGTGTCAGTTATAATAAAGACCAACATAAACTAATATATTGTTCATAAGTGATGATATGTGCTCTTGAAATGCCGTTGGAAATAAATCAATACGTAAATCGTCGTAAACCCGTCGAAAAATAAGACGCTTTTTACAGACGAAAATTTAAACCTCCGATTAGACTTCTGTCCTGTTGTACAAAGGTGACCACCAAATTTTATGTAAATCGCTAGAGAGTCTTAATTAGAATTATTAGCATTAAATTTTGTGATGCATTGGAATTTCTTTTATAAATTTTAAACATTTTAAATAGTAAATTTATTTATTAATTATAAATAATTCTTTATGTATGAAAATGACATGAGAGATTTGGGATAATCCATTGGAGCTTCAATAATTTTTTTAGTATTTTTTTTTTTTTAGATTTTCATGTGATTTCTTTAGTTTATTTATTAATATTAAATAATAAATTAGTTATTTATTTTTCTTTACTCAAATTTCCTAGGATATTTTATGGTCTTTTAGTTTAAATTTCTTAAGCCTATTTGGACTATTTCTGGATTTCTTAAACTTCAACTTAATTTATGATGTAAGCCTATTTGGACTATTTCTTGGATTTCTTAAAGTTCAACTTAATTAATAATGTATAGTTAATTATTTAATTTTTACTAAATTTAATTAATATTTAAGAAAATTGAACTAGCCTTAATGCCTAACTCAACATTTCATGAAAACTTTTGGGATGATCACATAGGTTGCTTAAAATTACATTAAATTATTTGATTTTTAAACAATTTTATTTATTTGGGTTGATCATAAAGATTGTTTAAATAATTAAAATTATAAATATCTTTTAATTTGCCACCCCTCGAAAATATTTATAGTAGTTAGTTGGGCTTAAGGGAACTTTACCAACAAGTATAGGGTTAATTAAAAATAAATTATTGGTTTAAACTTAATCATTTATTAGTATTAAGGGAATCAAATAATATTTTATCCTATTAAATATGAAATATATTTCCACTTAGATATTTCTTCATTCGTTGTCCCCATACTTCAAAAATAAGTATGTTTATACCACTGAAATATTTCATATTACATTAAAAATATCACCATTTTATTTTTAAAATAATAAAATATACTTTTTAATGAATAGATAAGAAGACACGTATCTAAATATTGAAATTTATGCGTTATATATGTAAATACATAGGAATTAAGTGGTATGCATGTTAATCTCTTTCAATTAACCATTCAAAAATGCATGAGTACCCGATTTCTCTAATCCTAAACTTTAAGCCAAAGTAATTTGAATGAACCCAAACCGAAAATTATCAAATATAACAAATAAATTTATGGTGTACAGTGTTTTTTTTTTCAAAATTATAGTGGGTTTAGGCTTCGTTTGAAGAAGTTTTATCATTCGTCAAAACTCACCAGGCCAATTGTGATCTGAAATGGCGAAAGCTTGTCATTTTTAAGCAACAACTTCGGAAGACTTTCCAGAGACATTAGTTGCTAATTAAATGTTTTAACACGCATTGGCATTCACTATAATGAAACAAAACCTCACTATCTTCTCAAAAAAAAGCCTTAATTTTTCCTTCAAGCTTACACTTCTAACTTAAAAAGTGATATTGTATATACGGTGTAAAAATAATAATAATATGAGAGTTGGATGTGGTTCATTAATAATAAAAGAATTTATATTTTTAAACCCATTTTTAAAAGAAATATTAAATTGGTTTTAAATAAGGTATCTAAGGCATTCTCCGTTCTCGTCTCGCTGGCCAATCGCGGCCGTTATATATTCATCCAACGCACTCCTTTGAAGCAATCCCATTGTTTTTATAACAAACAAACAACTTTTTGCAAAAGAACCCCTATGAAGGTATGAATTCAAAACCGTTAAGGGAGAAATATTCATCCTCCGGAACGAACGCACTGCCACACAGCCACGCAACCACATTGAAGTGGTAATAGATACCAACAGCCATTCTTAGATATATTTCCTCATCATTCCAGCCCACAATTTGGCTGGCTTTTCCTATTTATCTCTCACCTTTTGGATCGCTATGCACAGATTTTAAGTCCCTTCATTCCTCCGTCAAAACCCGTTCTTCAATCAAAATCCTCAACGCCAAAAATGTAAGTCCCTGCTAACATTCAAACTCACCCAACACACTCCGCTACTTTAAAACATGCATAAAAAATGTTTTATTTTCTTTTTAATTGGTAAATTTCATGTGAAATATTCTTTGTGAAATTAAAAATCAAGAAAATGGCCGCTCTTTGTGCAGCTCTCCTATGGAAAAGGAGTTCTTTCCAATGAATATCCCCAAATCGGCGCAAAAACAACAATCTGACGAGGTCACATCGTCTACGATTCCATCAACACAAGCAGAGCAAGAGGTACGTATGGCTGAACAAAATGAAGGACCATCGCATTTGATTTCATCTTCGCATGCAGGGCAACTGAAATTAGCATCGCCATTGTCGAAGTTTGAAGGAGTATTTTGTCAGCAAAATGGTCATTGGGGGGCTAAAATCTGCATTCAAAACAATTATATTTTGCTGGGAACGTTCAAGTCTGAAATAGCCGCAGCACGAGCTTATGATAGCGCGGCTCTCAAGCTCCTCAACAATGAATTCTTGCGTAACTTGTTGTTAACGAATGTCACTATTCATGAACCCATTTTTCAGAACATGTACGACCCTGATGTCATCATTAATATGATTAGGGATGGCTCCTACGAACCCAATTATATCGAGTTCCTTTCGAATCACTACCCTAGCTTCCACTATAGTGACTCTATAGTAATGCCTAATTCTTTGGACTCCATCGAAGGTGTCCTTTTTAAGGAAATGTTTCGTAAAGAGTTGCTTATGGGTGACATTACGAATGAGAATTTATTGGTTTTACCTAATGAAGCTCAGCCGTGCTTTCAGCCATTGAACTCCAACCCAGACGAACTATGGTTTGAATATAAAGACAGGAGGAATCGGTCATGGGAGTTTCAATTATGTCCCACGAATAATCCTCAGATTTATGTAATCACCACGGGTTGGAAAAAATTTTTCAATGAGGTGGAGCTTCGCGTTAATGATATTGTTCTCTTCTATCGATGTAAGGACATGAGAAATTTTCCTTGTAGCTTTTTTAGTATGATTGATGTCATCCGGGGTGCCAAAAATCATTGGATGCAGTCGCGGTATTGAGCCTCATTATGCTATCTAGCAGTGATTATTCCCCTTCCAAAATTTTAAAATTTTTCTAAAATCACATGTTTAGAATAAGATATGTTTTATTTGATTGAAATTGAAGATTTAATTTTTTATTGTCATTAGTACTCTGTAATAAGATTTTTTTGATGTGTGCAAAGTGCAAACACAATACTTATGGGATGCTTCTTTTTTTTGAGGCATTGATTATTCATATGCAATTAGGGGCTGCAAATTATTTTATTTTATTGTTAAGTGATCTTCCACTTATTTTATTTCTCATGCCTTAAGCTTACAACTTTTAAGCCTTCACGGAGAGCAACAACTTTGAATGAATTACAGTGTCGTGTTAATGAGTTTTGAGTGTTAGAAATATAAATATAAAATTCCCTTTGATTTTTTATATTTGGGAAAAATAACATATACATGAATACAATTTTAATTTAAATAAATTTACAAACATATACTTTGTATACATCTAAGAAGGTGATTAATTCAAATAATATATTTAACATTTATTTGTAATTAATAAAAATGAAAAATATAGCTTTTAATAAAATTTATAAACTATAAAAATATAGATTGGAGAAAAGTAAACACCAATTAAATTAGATTATGTTAAAATTAAAGTAGATATAAAA